TAACACTATTGTACATCGTATCATTATACTTATTATTATATTATATATATATCCGATTTTATTATTATTTACCTTTAACTTCTGTATATCTGTGTACTTCAACAGGTTATGGGCCCAGTAGTAAGGTCTTTATAATAAAGTTGTGAATAGTTATTAAAATAATAATTGATTAACGAATTGCGTGTTTTTTGTGTACAGACAGTGTACATCAATAATAATTCGCGAAGTAAGTGCAGTGTAGTGTGGGTGCGTTTCTTAGTGTGCAGATAGTGTACATTTACGTTTTTTAAATATGGAGAACGAACAATATAAAATCAACAAACTCAAAGATGCATCAAATTGGGACATGTGGAAATTTCAAATGAAGGTTATCATGAATGCAGCTGAAATATTTGATGTAGTAACAGGAAAATCAAAGAAACCAATTTTAGCAAAGATCGGTAATGAAACTGAAGATGAAGCGAGAAAAAGGCATAGCGTTGATTTTTCAATATGGAAAAGGGCAGATAATAAGGCTCAAAAATATATTGTCACGTCGTTAGATGAACAACCTCTACAATACATTATGAACTGTGACACAGCAAATGGTATGTGGAACAAATTACTTAGTGTGTACGAACAGATGTCGGACACAAGCATAACAATAGTACAACAAAAGTTCTATCGTTATACAATGGATCCAAAAGACAATATAGCAGGTCATATTTCAAAATTAGAAAATCTAAGTAGACAACTAAAACAATTGGGAGAACCTATCTCAGAATCAATGTTGATTACAAAAATTTTGATGACATTACCTGATAGCTATAGGCACTTCTACAGTGCATGGGACTCAATGAATAGTGCAAATAGAACGCTAGAACAGTTAACCACTCGATCGATGGTGGAAGAAACACGACAAGTGCAAGGACAGGAGGTCCGTGATGATGTTGCTGAAAGTAGTGCTTTGACTGCAACCAAAGGCAAGTATAATAAAAGTCAAAAATACTTGAACAAAAATGATAATACAAAACCAGGAAAATGCAATCACTGTAAAAAACCAGGACATTGGAAAAGGGACTGCAGGATATTCAAAAGGGAACAAGAAGAAAAGAAATCAACTTCCGGTTTGGCGCTTATTGGTGTACAAAGAAAAAATGAAGAAATCGACGACTCGGACAAATGGTATGTAGACTCAGGTGCGAGCGACCACATGACAAATCGAAAAGAGTGGTTCGTCGATTATAAACATTTTGATGTGCATTCGCTTGTACGTATTGGAGATGGTAAGCACATTATGGCAGTCGGAAAAGGTAACATAAATATTCATACTTATGTTGACAATAAGTGGATAAAAGGCTACTTAGAAAATGTTTTATATGTACCTGATCTAAAGGTAAATTTATTTTCTTGTGGGGCATGCCTTGATAAAGGAATTACAATGGTGACAGACAGTAAAGGTTGCTCATTTAAAATTAATAATCGTGTAATTGCAGTCGGTGTTCGTGAGAATAAATTGTTTACAATGCTAATCAAAACAGATATTTCACAGGAAATTGGACACTGTGCTAACGTTGCAGTTAAGAAATTAACATTAGAACACTGGCACAAAATACTATGTCATCAGAATGTCAAACATGTTCGTGAGTATTTAAAACACAATGAAATACAATTTACAGATATACAAGGACAGTTATTCTGTGAACCATGCATCTATGGCAAACAGCATAAGGAGACGTTCACTCAGAGCGAAACAATAACTACTGAACCAGGGCAAATAATACACAGCGACGTATGTGGACCCATGGAAGAGAATTCACTAGGAGGTAAAAGATATTTCATTATATTTAAAGATGATTATTCTAAATATACTTATGTCTATTTTATGAAACATAAATCTGAGGTTAAAGAAAAACTTAATTGTTTTCTGAGTATGGTTAAAACTCAAACAAAATACGTTATTAAAACTATTAGAAGTGACTGTGGATTAGAGTATAAGAATTTCGAAGTTCAATCAATTCTAAATCATCTAGGTATAAAGCATGAAACAAGTGTACCTTATACTCCTGAACAAAATGGAAAAGCTGAACGTTCAATGAGGACTGTTTGTGAGGCAGCCAGAACAATGATATATGCCAAGAATTTTCCAAAATCACTGTGGGCAGAAGCAGTCAATACAGTAGTGTTCTCATTAAATTATACTGGTAATTCAGGGAAAGTATGTAAAACTCCATACGAGTTATGGTTTGATAAACTTCCTAAAATAGAAAAGTTCGTAGAATTTGGAATAAATGCATATAGTTTAGTTCCAAAACAACGACGAAAGAAGTGGGATGCAAAAAGTCGAAAAGGATACTTTGTTGGATATTCAGAAACTTCAAAAGGGTATCGTATTTGGTATAAAGAAAATAACGAGGTGTCACTTAGTAGAGACGTCATTTTCAAGGATGAAAATGTTGTAAATTACCAACTTGTAGAATGTTCTAATAACTTAAATGATAATAATAACATTGATGTTCTTAGCTTACACAAAGACGGCTCATTAGAACACAGCAATAAACCAGAAGGAGATGAAGTCATAGAAAATGAATATGGACCAATAAGTGTAGATGACAATGAAAATCAAGAACTTGAACAAGGAAATGGGTCAAATGTCAACGTGTACAACTTGCGAGACAGAAGTAATATTAAGAAACCATTACGTTATGATAATTCAGCATTTTTCGTAGTCGAATCCGATCCAGTGAATTTCAAGGAAGCTGTGGAGTCACAAAATTCAGAAAAATGGGTGGAAGCCATGAACAATGAAATGGAATCTCTTGAACAAAACGGAACATGGTCTCTCGTAAAGTTACCTAAGGACAGAACTATTGTAAATTGTGGTTGGGTGTATAAAACAAAATACAATGTTCATGGACATGTTGATCGATACAAGGCTAGGCTAGTAGCAAAAGGGTATAGTCAAATATTCGGTATTGATTTTAATGAAACTTTTAGTCCTGTAGTAAAGTTCGATTCAATTCGGTCTATATTAGCTATATCAGCAGCAGAACAATTACAACTTCGACAATTTGATGTTCAAACAGCGTTTTTATATGGAGATTTGGACGAAGAAATTTACATGAGACAACCAGAAGGGTTCAACGATGGTACTGAAATGGTGTGCAGACTTCAACGCAGTTTATATGGTCTAAAGCAGTCACCACGATGTTGGAACATAAAGTTCAAAACATTTCTTCTTAACTTTAATCTATTAGAAACAAAAGCAGATCCCTGTGTTTTTGTTAATAGAGAGAATAACAAAGTATTAATCGTCGCTATATTTGTTGATGATGGTCTAGTTGCAGCTACATCGAGTGAAGATGTAAATGCATTAATGGAATATTTGAGACAACATTTCAATATTACCGAAGGAGAATTGAATCAATTTTTGGGTACAGAAATTGTGCAAAAATCTGATGGATCAATTGTAATGCACCAAGGGTTGTATTGTAAAAGAATATTGGAGAAGTTCAATATGACTGAAGCAAATTCAGTTCAAATACCAGCAGACCCTCAACATTCATTAGATGACAAGCAACAAAACACCAATCTAACTAGTAAAGTCCCATATCGTGAAGCAGTCGGAAGCTTATTATATCTCAGTCAGATTACAAGACCGGACATAACTTTTTCAGTAAATCTAGTTAGTAGATACATCGAGGATCCAAAGGAACAACACTGGACAGCAGTGAAACGAATTTTAAAATATTTAAAGGGAACTATTAATTTTGGATTGATATTTAGTTCTAGACAAAAACTCATGTTAAAGGGATACAGTGATGCTGACTATGCAGGTGACTTGGATACAAGAAGGTCAACATCAGGGTCAGTATTTACATTAGGATCTGGAAGTATAGCATGGAGTTCACGTCGTCAACAGTGTGTTAGCCTTAGCACAACTGAATCAGAGTACATAGCTTTAAGTCAAGCAGTACAAGAATTAACTTGGTTAAAATTGTTTTTAGGTGAATTGCTGGACCAGCCAAAAATGGTGCCAACAATGTATGGAGACAATCAAAGTGCGATTAAACTCGTAAAAAATCCAGAGTTTCATAGAAGAACGAAGCACATAGATGTTCGCTACCACTATATAAGAGGAAAGTTCAATGAGGGATTGTTTTCATTGGAGTACATATCCAGCAAGGAGCAGATTGCGGACATTATGACAAAGCCAACTCCACGAACGCGGTTCAATGAGCTAAGGGAGATGTTAGGAGTTATAAGTATTGATGTATAAGGGTATATTGTTTAAGGGAAAGTGTTGGAATTATAAACAAAACACCCTATATAATGTAGTGTATAAGTAATATATTCACACTGTAGTTCAGCAGACGCTGACTGTACATTTTTATAATACTACAGCATAAATGTCTTGTGTAGTGTAGCCGGGTATACATATTACATAGTTAGTCGTTGATTTATATTACGCCTCGTAACACTATTGTACATCGTATCATTATACTTATTATTATATTATATATATATCCGATTTTATTATTATTTACCTTTAACTTCTGTATATCTGTGTACTTCAACACTTTTTTTTTACCAACAGGTAGATCAATACCATCAAAACACAATCCTTTTAATTCGGCTACTAATTCTGATAAATACAAATTGCTATCTTGTGGCTTTTCTGTACCCCAATATAGACCAACCAAAAACACACATGACTTAGTATTATTAAAATTAGAAATATAGCAGAGAATTGGCCAAAACTGGCTATTGGTGGATTTAGTCAAAGGTAAACCATCTACTCCTAATTATAATTTAATTGTGTCATCAGAAAATACATTTGGACCAATGACCGATTTTATGCCATTAGCTAATCCAAAATAATGAAAAATACCAGGGTTCATATTTTGAATTTGTAATGGCTGCTTACTAACATTAGTTTTTAATAATGTTCTGGCATCTATTGGAAAATTATCAAAACATTTATGATTAGTTTTCAATACTTTTAACAAATCAGATAAAGCCTAGTTTGATATTTTATGTTGAATAGCCCATTTAGTAATGCTGGTTAACACTTTTTCACTAAAGTCTGAATCACTATAATCAGAATCTGACGAAAAATTAGAAACAAAAATATTTGTACCATTTAGATTAATGTCAGCCATTAAGTTTGGATCGATTTCTTCATTATGGTTACTTGCAAAAAAAATAGATGTAGGATCACACTCATTACTAATATTATTGGATAACTTATGTGATATTATATGCTGTTCGGATGAACTAGGTTGATCATTATAATTATGATTATTGCAAGAAGCATTGCTATCAATGGCTAAACCTAACTCCTCAATCTCTTCCAAACACCGTCTACGCTTAGTAGACTTGCTTAAAGCAAGAGACATTTTCTAAAATAAATATTTCAAAAACAGTTTATGTACCTACCTGAAAAATTTATACTCTGTAATGATAATAGATAATAACAAGAGAAGGGCCTTAAAAAATGACTGATCAGCAACAACAATGATACGGAATAAATTAAAATTATGTATACAACTGACACTAATAGTATGATGTTACAACATAAAAAAGTAAAAACAATAAAGTAATAATAATAATGTTCTAAATACTAACCAAGAACAATACTACAACCTCGACTACAACATATAATTGAAATTGGTAGGTCCTCAACAGCCCCTCGGTGTTAACTTGATAGGTATAAATCTTGACTCTTGAAACTAAAATAACAATAGAAATATTGCAAAATAAAAAGTATTATATTATTATTAATACCTATAATATGTACGGCCCTTTACAGCCATGCATACGTATCATATGAGAGTTTTTTGATTTATATTATGTAAGTTAGTACTCGCCGCTTGCTTGAACTCATTTGCGCCATTGTGTCGTCGACGCCTACCAAGATATAAATCGAAAAACTCTGGCTATAAAATGGCCAAAATAATGATATTATATTACATACCAGTGACAATTAGGTATCCAATTTGTCGAAAACTCAGCCACTCATCAATATTTGAATAAAATAATAATTTTAGTCGCAACTCGCAATACTTGTACTCACCTCGCGAGTTACCTTCACTTGTCAACTTCGTATAAATATAAATTTTAAAACTGTGAAGTTTAAAATTTAAATTGAAAAACAATAACAAAGAAAAAAATGGCGTCCACGCGTCGTTTGTTGTTTAAACAGAACGCTACTCGAAAGTAAAAACAAAAAGTACAAGAACAATGGCTGACCAGCGAAGCCAAAATAAATAATTTTGACTGTACCTAATAACAAAATCGGTATCCAACGACACAGGACTCGGAAGAATTGCAAAACGATGGCGTGGTTTGTGTTGTTTACACAGAACGGGACGCGAAACAAAAGTCGAGAACGACGAGTGAAGCACACCACGATGAAAAAGGAAAATGACGATCCGAAATGTACAGCATACGAATTACGAACAACAATGAGTAAATAATATGGCGGCGATAGACATTGATTATAGATACAGTAGACTATACGGTGTTTTATACCGATTACCAATTCTAGATTGTTGATTGATAATATCAATATTTAATGACGAGACAATCCGAGGTGGACGTACCAGTACGTACTATAAAAATAGATTGTTCACGAATAATTATGGTTGATAAAAGAAATCACTACGCGTCAGTGCGTCCCACAATAATAATGTATATTTAAGATTTCTTCTTCACCAATTACCGGATACCCCTTTTTTTTTTTGGACTTATGATTAGTTGTTACTAATTAGATATTATATTAAATACGATGATGATGCGCTACCACCGTCTGCTAGTTGTGAACTTGTGAACCAGCCAGTTCCAAATAGTACAACTCTAGTTGTACTCTAGCGCTAATCTTTTACTTACAATTTATTTGAATTCGGTGTATACCTACTTGACAGTTTTGATCGGCGATGCGCGATAGCGGACAGCGGTATATTCTCTTTTGAAATAGAGATTAGAGACATAGAGTTATATTGTTATAACTTATAGTGTATTAGTGTATAAGCTTATAAATTTTATAATATGTATAAAGATCACGTTCATACGTAAACTAAGGTACCTACTACAAGTACTATTATAGTGCTCCAACGTAAACTGTATTCGCCTATATAGTAGTTGTGTAACCGGCTCATTTATTATACCGTTTACAGTGAGCCATACATGTCCTACATAGGCATAGCTGGTATAGATACTGTTGAGTAGATACTGGTTTCTTTATGTCATTGCAATACCGGGTGCAGGGACGCGTGCGGACGGGGACAAATCGCGCGTAGAAGTGTTAAATAATAATATTATAAGCAGTGGATTTTCTCTTTATATTAGTTATCATAGACAGGAGTTGCAGGATCATAATAGTGCATATTAGTATTTCACCGAAAATAGTGTAATAGTTGTTCAATTTTGAATTTATTATTTTTGTTAAAAATAAATAACAAACTATTTAGAAAGTATTTAAGAACAAATACAAATACTTTGCAATGTACTTAAATACTTTTTTCATTTTACTTTATAAAAATTGGTTTGCAAAATACATTTTGTAATTACTAATTTAAAATAGTGTAATGTTACATTAGACTAGGTACCTAGGTAACCTAGCTATTATAAGAACTGTTTTTACTTCTTTCTTTAATGTATAATGAAAAATAAAAATGTAATAAGCTAACTCAATATAATGGCATATTTTCAAAGTCTTATAACTTATAAGTTATAACTTTTTAACTTACTATAATATTATAAATAAGATAAGTACCTATAATATAACAATATAAGTTATATTACTGTATACTTTATTGTATACCTATTATGATGATTTTTAATCACCTAAGATCAACCAAGATTCTAGTTTTTCTGATAAGATTAATAAATGATAATAAAATTAATACCAATATGGCCATTTTGAATATACCATAAAAATTGTATTTTATACTTATTAGTTATTACAAACTTCATTCATAACCATAACGTATTATAATAATTCATAAGCCTGGGTTCATAAGTCATACCTACCTGATGATATATTATAGTTATATTATTAATTAATCATTATCAATGGTTTCTGCGTGCAATCAATATTATATTATTTCTAATCATCTATAACCAAATTTGTTTAAAAGAAGAAAAATTTTTTTCATAATCACGTTGAAATAGTTAATTCAAGAAAGGTGAAATTTTCAATTTTGAAATATTTCAAATTCAGAACCCTATACAATGTATAATATAATATAAATTTATACATTCATCCCATAAGTGTAACTTATCTACAACTGTTGGGGAATTATCGTCAATTTTGTGCAACAACTTGTAATAAAAGGTTTACTGATTTTGTTTTTCGTTTTTTTTAAAATTATTTTATTAAAGTCCTCCATTAATTTAACTGCATGCTTGGAACGAAATTTTCTAATTATTATTTTTTTTTTTTTTATATAATGTTTGATATTTAAATCATTTAAATTTAATTGTAAACGTTTGTTTATTACGGCATAATCCTCATGTCCATCAAAGTTTTCATTGTCTATTTACATACATAATATAATATATATACAATTATTGAATACTATGTCGTTATTTATTAATTATTTATTAAAACACTATTAGTTAACATAAATATTTATTTATTTTTAATTATTGTTAAATATTGAATAATAGTTGAGTTAAATATATTTTAAAGTCAATATTTTATAAACTTATAAGTATATTACAATACATATATTAGTTTTAAAATATTTAATTAGTTACTCAATAATATTAAAAATTAAATATTAAGAATTAAATAAAAATTAAATATTTATCAATGTGAATGATTGAAAATTGTTACTTGGGTTTATACTAATTTATATTATCATATATAATGAAATTAGGAATATTTCAGATAAATAAACTTAATATAATATATGTATTTTATAGCTCACCTTATTTAGAAAAAAAAATTACATCTGTTGCTTATTTTATTAATAATTAAATATTATCATTACAAAATTAATCAATGGTTTTTTTCCTTTTTTCTGCGAATGGGGCTTGAGCCAAATATGTTTTAATTGGTTCCTCAATTTCATGGTCACTTATTGTTTTAAATTTCAATTGTCTCTTGATAGACTCTAAAAAAAATGAATGCATATTTAACAATGCAAGTTATAACAAAAAAAATATTATACATATATATATATATTAATATATTATATTATGGTTGTAGGACACTTTGTACGGTCACCCACAAAAAATGAAAACCGCGGACAGTTTGTACTATTTCAAAAAGTAATAAAATATACATAGCGGACAGTTTGTAATATTTAAAAAAATGTTTAATTTGTTATTACAAAACGCAGGTAGTTAACATATATAAAAATGTTTGCCCGACACTCAAATGCCCGACACTTCATTTGCCAGACACCATCTGCCCGACAATACTTTTACTCGACACTACTTTTACCCGACAACTATATTTACCCGACAATATATTTCACATATTTTTACTATACGACTATACGTAATACTAATATACAATCTATATTGTTATTATTATTAATATTTATTAATTTCCAAGTAAACCGATAGGCGATACTGCGATGGACAGATAAAATTACCGTAGGTTTTTAATGCGACATTTGATAGTTCAGTTCCTACAGTACAGTTATAGCCGTTATATAGATACACATTTAGTACGAATTTTACTTCTTTCTTTTAAAAATATTTTAATTTTGATTTAATTCAGTTTGATTTTATTTTAATTATTTTTTTTGATGTGAAAACATCTTATGTGGCGTTCAGACTTTTCGGTTTGGGCAGTGAATTTTTTCGAGCGTTATTCGAGCGTTACCCTTTTCGCGTAACGCTAGCGCTTCCGACGTGCTGATTGGCGGAGACTCGGTGCGACGCGACGCAACGATAGGCTGCCTGTGCTCAGGGGGCGTGGCTTCATTACGATCACGGACATCGAACATAGTGCGGGCGAGAGCGTCAAATTAGTTCATCGTTGACAACCAACGTGAACAATTAACTAAAAATGTATTGTATACATACAATATTACTATTTGATCACATGCGCAGGCGCGCAACTACGTACGCGTCGTACTCGTACATCGTCCGTTGTCGCGCGTTGGTAGTTCTCGAGGACGTTTTTCGTTGATAAACACTATAAACAATAAACATGGTCCAGGGCTTGAAACCGTTATCAAAATTATCGGTTAACGCCACGGACTAAGATATAATGGACTGGAAACGAGCAGCTTATCATGGCCACGAATGTATGTACAAGAGGCAAAGTGCGGGGGGTCGCTATCTGTTCTTGGAGTTCACAGCGCCCTCTGTATTTAACACGGACTAAGATACAAATTGTGTAGCCAAATAAAACCACCGGTAGCGCTGAAAACTTCAA